TTGTTTATTTGTATTGTTTGACCTTGTCTGTATGACTGCTTGATTGTATGGCTGGGTTGCTGGCTTATGCATGTTTATGACAAGTATTGTTTTTCCATTCCTCTTTGAAATGGCTTCTTATTTGTTCTTGACAGTTACTGCGCCTAAATGACTCAATAGAATCAAACTATCCTTGTGCTGGAGTGGAGCTCCCAGAAGCAGGTTTCCTGGTCAAAGAGAGGTAGGAATGAGAGAAAGTTTCTGAAAGTTTTTTTCAGCAATGTACAAGTGTGTATGAAGTATGAGCATACAAGCTGATATATGCTTGAGTGCTGAGATTCTTTTGTTATTGTTAAGGACTTTGGAGCAGTCCCTGAGCATCAGACTCTAGATGACAAGGTGACTCTGTGTCCAGTATAAAAACAAAGATGGATGACTGTGAAGTGACTCCTGTCCGTAAACAGCACAAGCAGCAAGGATGAAAAAAGATGGTCTCTGTATATGTGCACAGCAGTGTTTTAGAGTCAGTGGATTAGAGGAAAACTTTGTACAGTTCGTATTGATTAAGTATGCAAAGAATATGTCCATAATCTGAATAGAGAAGAAAATCTGCATAAAATTTGCATTTGACATTTTGCAAGAAAGACAAAAATAGATTAAACTGAAAAAAACAACCCTGTTGGTCATTTGCTTGCAGGAAGCCCTGCTGCACAATGATTGGTTCTTGTTTTTTAATTTGTCCTGCAGGCACAATGCTAAGCCCCACAGAGCAGCTATCAGAAGGATGTCAATGCAAAGGCTACCTTATTTTTACCTGGTATAAAATCGGGATCTGGATGTCTTACCTGGATAAGGTAAAACGCATGTTAACGGCGGTGCAAATGCAGAATGCTATTGGCCCAGCTCATTCTCTGATGTTGTCAGGCTCAACCAGGCTTAATCGGTGTGGTGTGACCACATTCTTAAAGACTTTTAGGACCAATGCGTAGGATTTAGTGGCATCTAGTGGTTAAGTTGCAGATTGCAACCAACTGATTAGCGTCTCAGAGAAACAAAGGGGGGGCGAAACTCTGTGAAAAACGTGAAAGGCCTTACCTTGGCTACTATTTGAGCTACTGTGGAAACACTGTTACAACATAGACTCCCTGCTCCTTCTGTAGATAAAAACACCTCATGAAATGATGAAAACATACCTATGAATATTATATTCCATCTCTGCCAATAGACTATGAGCAATAATTACTGTGTCACTCATGGTGAACTGTCACCTCTCCAGGTACCAGTTCATGCTCTTTACTGTGGTGCTTGCTGTACTTGAACTGGCCACCCTCCAGTTCCAAAACGAAGTCCCTACGAACTGAGCTACTGCCTTTTTAACATGTGGTTAATGTTGTGAAATGTTGCAGTTTGGTTAGGTTTAGGCAAAAAAACTACTTGGTTAGGGTAAAGAAACATAATCATTTGGGTTAGGGTTATGGTTAAGAACAGAATAAATAAGTTACATGATTCAAGTCACATAATGTTAAGGAATCGTAAAAAATGTAAATGACTTTTGGTTTCACACAGGACACAAACTGCAGTCTCCACCTCCTTATGTGGACTTTATCGCTCGTAACATTACGACACCTGATGCTGATGGGTCACTTTGAGTTTCAGCCCACTGTGTCTCAAACTGATGCTAAATGGTACCTTTAAAATGGTGGTATATGATGCTCTGGGTACCCTGCAAACGACATCTAAACCTAGACATCATCAGGGGGTTGAAAAATATAGCCAAAATGAACCGACAGCAGGGCGCAACTTCGATGTTGTTTGAACGTTCAGTCTTGAAAACTATTGAATTTCTACATCCTGACATGTTTTGTGAATAACTGTCTTACATTTCACTAAAAGCTTATGTTGACATCAGGGCTAAACACAACCACTCAATATTCAAGAAATCCAGAGCACAACATCTGTTCAGATTAACTTTTTATGAATTTATACTTATACTACTGAATTTAAATGTTGCTGAATAACATTTGAACTGAAAAACATTATTGTGGCACATTGGTAAAGCGTTGAATAGATATATCTAAAGGTGGCATTAGAAATCAATCAATTGTTTTATTTCCATTTTTATAATTGAACCTAAACCCATCACTTAATCCCCCCCTCAACAGCTACTCACCCACCCTAACCCTTTCAACAAAAAAAATCAACCCAACATGTTGAAAGGTAATTTGAGACTGCATCTTCCTGCTATCTGAAAAGGCTGCTGATGAAAAATAAGCAGAGCCAAGCCTGTTTTTTAGTTGTTTCATCTTTTTAGCTATTTTTCTGTTCCAAAATCCAACAATTGTTGGCTTACAACTGCCACTTTACTGGATCGTTCCCACAGAGAAGAGTGTTCAACAACTTTCCTGATTAAATAAGGTGAATGAATGAATAAGAATTGGTATTGATGGATAAAAGTGTCACAATTCTCAATTTAATTTTCATGAAAAAAGAGTTACTGAAATTGTACCATTAAGCTGTGGAAAATGTCCACCCCCGTGTTTATATAGCTGCAGAAAGAGCCTGAATGAAAAGCTAATTTTCCCGCTTCCATCCCAGCACCCTTACTCAGTCAGAGCTCCAGTTTTCACTTTGTCTTGGCAAGGCACAGTAAACAGCACTGCCAGAGCTAGTCAGCCAATATGGTGTAACTGATTTAAGGCGGATTAGAGATTCCTGTGCTAAGCCTGAGAGAATCCTCTCAAATATTCACAGACGGACTGAATTAGTGAAAGAAACAATAGCCATTTTCAATGCATCTTATGTAAAATGTTTGCGTCCTGTGATATTTGCAGCCATTGTAGGTGGCTGGCTATAAGTCTCAGGAACATGTGACATGATTATGTTTAAAGCCACTCAAAGCCTGACATTTTTTTATGTTATTTGAACAAGAACATGATTTAAAAATACATATCTTTGGCTTTACAAAAGAAAACATATCAGGACTGTTTTCCTCAAGCCTGAAGTTCTTATTCTTAAGGTGTCCTCATAGTTTTACCACTCAGTGACTTTGACTAATTCCTGAAAAAGCTTTGGGCTCAAAGAAAGTGAAATTGCTCCTGGTTTACAACTTGAGATGTGCTCAGTATTATGCTACTTTTTCCTATTTTTCTCATGCTAGTCATCTCTTAAAGCATGCACAATAGCTTATAGTATTGGAGACCTGATGTATGTTCAAGTATTTATTTTTGGTTTTAATTAGTTATTTGAAACTATAAAAAGGGGGTTTCACATCATAATTGACAGCTGAGCCCGGCCCATTGAGTCGGCCAGGTGTATGGACAGGACTACAATACCGCGGCACCAACCCCAGTCGCAGACTACGAACGTGGAAGATGGCTTAATTTTTGTACCCTGTAATGCCAGATGAGCCTATTATTCAACACTAACAGAAGAAAATAAGAACAAACCCAGGTTCCTCTTCAGCACTGACAGGATGTGTCTGATTTTTGCAGTGTTACGTAAATGAAAACAGCCAGTCCTAAAGGATTGTTTTACTGTTTTCCTGCTATTGAATTTCATCAGTTAACTTCAATAATTTCTACATCAACCTGTCTGTTAGACCCGATCCCAACTAGGCTGCTTAAAGAAGTCGTACCCTTAATTGGCACTTCTTTACTGGATATGATTAATCTTTCTTTATTATCAGGATATGTACCACAGTCTTTTAAAGTAGCTGTAATTAAACCCCTTCTTAAAAAGCCCACTCTTGACCAAGGGGTTTTAGCCAATTATAGACCGATTTCTAACCTCCCCTTCCTCTCTAAGATTCTGGAGAAAGTAATTGTCAAAGAGTTGTGTGACTTTCTACATAACAATAGATTATTTGATGATTTTCAATCAGGATTTAGAGTTCATCACAGCACAGAGACAGCTCTGGTTAAAGTTAATAATGACCTTTTGATTGCTTCTGACAATGGACTTGTCTCTGTACTTGTATTATTAGATCTTAGTGCTGCATTTGACACCATTGACCATAATATTCTTTTACAGAGACTTGAGCATCAAATTGGCATTAAAGGAGCCGCACTAAGCTGGTTTAAGTCATATTTATCAGATCGTTCGCAGTTTGTACATGTTAACAATGAATCTTCAATAAATACTACAGTTAGTCATGGAGTTCCACAAGGTTCTGTACTTGGACCAATACTATTTACTTGATATATGCTCCCTTTAGGCAACATTATTAGGAATCACTCCATTAACTTTCACTGTTATGCAGATGATACGCAGTTGATCTATCGATCAAGCCCGATGGAATTAATCAATTATCTAAATTACAAACATGTCTTAAGGACATAAAATTCTGGATGAGCTGCAATTTTCTGATGTTAAACTAAAAACGAAATTCTTGTACTTGGCCCCAAAAACCTTAGAGACTCACTGTCTAAAAATATAGTTACTCTAGATGGCATTACCTTGGCCTTTAGCACCATTGTCAGGAATCTTGGAGTTATCTTTGATCAGGATTTGTCATTTAATTCCCACATAAAGCAAACCTCCAGGACTGCCTTCTTTCATTTACGTAATATTACAAAAATTAGACACATCCTATCACAGACAGATGCAGAAAAACTAATCCATGCATTTGTTACTTCTAGGCTGGATTACTGCAACTCTTTATTATCAGGCTGCCCCAATAAGTCCATTAAAACGCTCCAATTAATTCAAAACGCTGCAGCACGAGTACTGACAGGAACTAGAAAAGAGATCACATCTCTCCTGTACTAGCTTCTCTGCACTGGCTCCCTGTAAAATTTAGAATAGAATTTAAAATTCTCCTCCTCACCTATAAAGCTCTTCATGGTCAGGCCCCTTCATATCCTAAAGAGTTCATAGTACCCTATTACCCCTCTAGAACACTACGTTCTCTGAATGCTGGGCTACTTGTGGTTCCTATAGTCTCTAAAAGTAGAACAGGAGCCAGAGCCTTCAGTTACCAAGCTCCTCTCCTGTGGAACCAGCTTCCAGTTGTGGTTCAGGAGGCAGACACCCTCTCCACATTCAAGAGTAGGCTTAAGACATTCCTCTTTGATAAAGCTTATAGTTAGGGTTGGATCAGGTGAGTCCTGAACCATCCCTTAGTTATGCTGCTATAGGCCTAGACTATCGGGGGATTTCCCATGTTGCACTGAGCTCCTCTCTTCCTCTCTCTTTCTGCACTCATTCATGTCCCATTAATGCATGTTACTAACTTCACTTCTTCCCCGGAGTTCTTGTGCTTTCTCGTCTCGCAGGTTCTTATCGATCCTGGTGGAGCCTCCTGCCATGGTCCTGCTAGATTGCCATTGCCAATACTGTTGTTGCTGTGTACCTGTCTGTCTGTCTGTCTGTCTTCTTCTCTCTCTCTCTCTCTCTCTCTCTCTCTCTCTCTCACTGTCTCTCTCTCTCTCACCCCAACTGGTCGAGACAGACGACCACCCACCTAGAGCCGAAGGATCTGTCCTAGGTTTCTGCCTTTTAACAGGCAGTTTTTCCTTGCCCCCGTTGCCAAGTGCTTGCTCATGGTGGTACTGTTGGGTCTCTGTAAATAATGTTATAAGGAGTTCGGTCTCGACCTGCTCTATTTGAAAAGTTTCCTGAGATAACTTCTGTTATGAATTGGCGCTATACAAATAAAACTGAATTGAATTGAATTGAATTTATGCAGGAATTAAAGGACATATCCTGATAACTCCAAGATTCCTGACAGTGGTGCTGGAGGCCAAGGTAATTCCATCTAGAGCAACTTTATCTTTAGACAGTGTGTCTCAGAGGTGTTTGATGCCAAGTACAAGAACTTCATCAGAAAATTGCAGCTCATCCAGGTTTTTATGTCCTTAAGACATGCTTGTAATTTAGATAACTGATTAATTTTATTGGGCTTGATTGATAGATATAACTGGGTATCATCTACATAACAGTGAAAGTTAATGGAGTGATTCCTAATAATGTTGCCTAAGGGAATATATATAAAGTGAATAGAATTGGTCCAAGCACAGAACCTTGTGGAACTCCATGACTAACTTTAGTGTTTATGGAGGATTCATCGTTAACATGTACAAACTGAGAACGATCTGATAAATAAGATTTAAACAAGCTTAGTGCGGTTCCTTTAATGCTAATTAGATGCTCAAGTCTCTGTAATAGGATATGATGGTCAGTGGTGTCAAATGCAGCACTAAGATCTAACAATACAAGTACAGAGACAAGTCCATTTTCGGAAGCAATAAAAAGGTCGTTATTAATTTTAACCAGTTTTGTCACTGTGCTGTGATGAACTCCTTTCTGAAAATCCTCAAATAAGATGTTGCTATGTAGAAGGCCAGGAGTAGGCTAGATATTGAAATAGCCTTAGTTACTAAGTGTTGTGTGGTTTGAGCTATGCTGTCAGGGTTTAGTTCATCGCTCTTTTGTTATAATGTTTTCCAGATAAGGCTAAAGAAGGTGTTCACCTTGCTGTTAGTTTCCGGTTAATCTATTCATTAATTTGAGATTGTTATCTGTTTTGTTTTTTTTATGAATTGTGACTACTTTTATCTTCTTTTTGGAAGTTTTGTTAATATTGTGATTTTGTTTCCTAGACAAATTTGGGGTCGTAACAGCGCTTAAACCAATCCCAGCACTTCCTTTTCCAATGCTGATGAGTGTATTTCTGTCATAGGTAATACGTGTTTCAGTAATGAAGGTGGAAAAAATAACAAATTCAAACAAAAATGTTTAAAATGTTTAATGCATCTGCAGGCACTGCCCTCAATCCAGATAAACCTTTCAGATATGAAAACAATGAATTACTGAAATAGTGAAATACATACAGACTTAATATAAAGTACTGGATATATCTCTAATAAACAGTATACTTTTAGTTGTCCATCTTTCTGTTCTCCACAGGCAAACCTGACTGAAAAAAACAGCACAAGAATCATAAAAATCAAAAAAGCTTATCTTCCTTAAACGTTTCTGTGCACCAGATTTTAGTTTTATTTCCATTTTGCAGTAGCCAGTGTATGAAATGAGCTGGTACTCACCGGTACTAAATAATACGGTACTTCTGATTTTTGTCCACATGAGTACCCTTACTTCTTCCACCTCTGATGAGTATGGCTGTAGCCACCGCTAAGGTCACTGAGGTCTGGACCTTGGTACCTATTTTAAAACAGGACACAGATCTACATCAAATGTATTCGGCAACTCATATAAATCACTCATATAAATTAATTATTAAATTAACCTGCCAGCCCATTGGAAACCACCATGGTTTTTTGTAATATATTTGTTCATTCATACAGAAACTGTAGTTTTTCTTTGAATGAAAGTGCTTGCGATTCCACATTTACTGTCTTTGTGTCTTTGTCCGTAGCAGGAAGGCATACAGGTCATATTTTTTTTTTTTTCCTTGACTTGTGTTTTTAACCAAAGCCTTTAACTAAACATCTGAAAAGACACACTGAAAACCGGAATGTTTTACAGAATCCAACACAAACGTTGAGCATTCTTGGCTGCCATAACGGCAAAAATAATCCAAAAAATGCTGAAGGCATTGCTTTGAATCTGTGTTGTTTTACTGCTTTGACTATTTCTCAAAGGCAGAGCTCTTCACGAGGCAGGAGTAATGTCAGTTGTTGAATCGAAGCACTCATTCAGAGTGCAAGCAATCCAACTGGCAAGCCTGGATAGCAGAAAATAGAACTCTAATCAAAATAGATAACACATATTCTGGTATGAGCCACACTGTTTTTTTCGTTAGCTTGCTAATCAGCCAGCAGCATCACCAGAAAGAGGAAGACTGAGTGTCAGACAGTTTTACAGGGAGCTTAAAACACTTTCAGACTATAATGGTTTTGTCGATTTACCTTCAGGTGCTCAGTACACACACAAATACACGTGCAGAGTGCATTTTTGTCCACAAAGTCCATTTTTCACAGATGTACTGTAACAGGCACATAATAGTCCTCATGAGAGCAGATGCCTTCTGATCCAGCATAAAGGTCCAATGTAATTTCAGATACAGCACTGGAGGGCACACTGTCTTGGTGAAATGGTGCTAATGACGGAAAATTTACCTTTTCATCACTTGGGGTGGATGAGTGTACTTTTAAAAGACATTTTAGAGGTACAAAAATTGGCATACCATTTTACAATTTAGATTTGTATGTAACAATATAATCCAAGGTCCAGTCCTTGCAACTGGAAACCCAAATGTGGTTGAAACCGAGACCTTTGATCTTATGTTGATTTTGTTGCATGTGGTATATTGTCAAGAAAAGAATGAATTTTTCACGCTCAAATTCTACAAAACTTTTCTATACAAATATTTTTTTATTCTTAATGGAGGTCAGTGATTGAATTGAAATTTTCAAGGACTGTGTCAACGACATTTCCCAATAGAATTTTAAGTGGTTAAATTTTTCCCCCATATCTTTGTCTGATGTTGTCTTGTTTGCCAATTTTCAGTGCTATTGCTTACAACCCAAATGCCCTTTAGAATTTCATAAAGGTGTAGCTGAACAATTAGCGTCACATTCACAAATGTTTTCTCTCCGAAATTTGTTTTTTTTATAAATGAAACAGAAATTGGGTTCAGGAGCAGGTGCGCACTCTTCGATTTGTTCATACCTAAATAAATAAAATCTTTTGTGAATCAGAACTCTCTTTAAACGTACTACAAGCAGTTTAAACTGAATATGAAACAATCTCAGTTTAAAACTGATTTCTTTATATGACCTACATTAACAAACAACACCTATTTCTATATAGTTATTCTCATTAACTGCCACCAGGTCAGATTCAGCCAGATTCCCTTTGAAATCGATGAAACAAGGCAGTAGAAACATTACCACTTTTGTCCACAGGGGCTGCTAGAATGAACAATAAATCTAAGTTCTTGTGGTTGCTTTAAACAAATCTAATCTAACTATAAAGGAAGGAAGGAAGGAATTCTTGTCTGTATGAATGTCTGTCCTTCAGTTTTCTCAACAACGGTTCATCCAATCGACTTTGCACTTTGTGGGTGTATTGCTGAGCACCCGAGGGAGAGCAGTGTTGAATGTAAGGTCGATCTGATGAGGGGTTCTTCAGAACACTGCAAGCAGCACTTCTGGAGGCCAAGCAGTCGGGTGCACACTCCGAGCAGCCACGCCCCAAAAGCAAGCGTCCCTAGTTAAAATTAAAAAAGCACATTCCAGCTTAAATGTCATAAGCGTAATCCTTTATATGAGCAGCAACCTCACAGCAGTTTACCGCCATTCCGAAGGTTGTCACCTGTGGAAGGCTGAACACCCAACAAGGACACCAAAAAAGTATAGGCTGACAACAATATAAACCCACTAGTGCACTTAACGCAGTTTTACCATCAAACTTCAAGAATCATCTGAGGGCCGATGAGTGTATTAAGGCCACGGGAGGAAAGACAGTCTCTGAAGAGCAGAAATGGATGAGAGCAGTGGATCTACAACTGGAGAGGTCATGCAGTCTCAAGTGGCACTACACAGTGAGCAGGATAACTAAGCCAGAAGCTCTACACATTAAAGATCAGGGTCAGGATTATTGCAGTAATCAAAACCAAAATCATTTCTGTCATTTTCTGTGAAATATGTTAGACTGAATATAGTGGCTCTTTTACACCACGAGGCACAGGGCTATCTATTAGACAAATAATGTACTTTATAAGTATGATTTCAAGCTTGAAATTTCCGTTGACACTGCTAAAGTAGAGACCTTTGAGTGCAGTGGGGTTTCCTATATTATTAATATTGTACTTTTCCTGATCCTCTTATGTAGGAAAATGTTCTCTACCCTTCTCTTATACTAATGTAATTCAATATACCAGATTGTTTATTTCCATCTCAAAATGTTAATTTACATACGTTTGACACTTAGAGAGGCCAGATCTGTAAGGCTGGTGCTGACTGGCAAAGTGTGCTGCTTAAAACTAATTACTGTAGCTCCTGAAATAAAATGTTATTACAACCAAACACACCTTCGTGTCAGATCAAGAAAGTGTTCACTTTACCACTGTATTGATTAGATCTGGCAACCTCCAGACAGATAAAATCCCATGTAG